TTGCTCTACTACTCTTAAGATGAGGATGTGATATATGTGTTCTGGGATGTGGCCTAGAATTTCTCACCTGTGATTATACTGCATTTCTCTACTGAAATTGGATTTTTTTTCTGGCAGAGAATGACTGGATTCAAGAAGGCAGCTTGAGTATCAACATTCCGGGCAGTTCAGATCTTCATCATGTCTGTGAACATCAATAAATCTTCACCCTGTCCTATACAGCCTGGGATAATAATTGACATCTCATTACCTTTTTTTTCATATTAAGAGCTGAGTGAAATTTACCCTTATGCACTGTAGGAAAAGGATGGGTGAATCGCTTTTTCTGCACTTGGTTGTGTCCTTGGACAAATGCTTAGTGTGCTCTTTTTTGCAATTTTTCCCTTGCAGCTGTTAAAAAAAAAATAATTCTGCTCTCTAAAAGGAAGCTTTTACTTGAGATTTGGCTGTTTTGAATTATAAATGCCAGTGAATAACCAGATATAGAGAGCAACTGGCTCACAATTCAAATACAGTATGTGAACCAGTATAAACAATTAACCTGTTAATCATATTTAATGTTTCTGATGAACTGCAATTTCTAACAAATGCATTAAACTGCATTTAATGTTTCTAATGAACTGCAATTTCTAACAATTGTTCATTTCCCTCTTATGAAATTCTTGCTTCTTGCCCTTTGAAATGGCTTCCCCACAATACTTTTTATGTTACATTGTCAAAGAATAATAAAGCCCGAACCAGACAATTTCATAAACGTTTAAGTTTCAGGAAGATGAAGATATGTTTAGCTACTTTCTTTCATTATATGTCATTCTCAGCAACGCCAAATATAAGAATTTATATTTTTTTTATATTAAGATTTAAAAAACCCCACAAAATTTAAAAATAGTTTATTCTGTACCACTAGTACAATATTAAGAGTATCTAAGTGTTTAATAATAGAAATAAAATGTGTTATTGAATCTTAATTGTTAAACTTGAAACTTAAGATACTTCTTGGTCTAAATGAGAGATTTGGGAAAAGAGGCAGAGTTTGAAAGAAATATAGTTTGAAAAAATTTATGACAACTAAAAAGGAATAATGCATATACTTTGAATTTCTTTTGCAGAAATTATGTTTTTTGAGGTGATAAAAGAAGGACCAACCTTCTCCTTCTTTAACCAGGCTGAGAATGCCACAGACTTCTGTGTGGGTGCACTGAAGAACCATGGTAGGAGAAGCATGGTAAAACAAATATAGCCATCAAATCAGTCTTGATGGAAAACATGATTAGTTAGTTTTTCAAAAAAATGTTGTGTCAGGGAAGGTTTAGGTTGGATATTAGAATAATGCTGTTCGCCCAGAGGGTGTTTGGGCACTGGAACAGGCTCCCCAGGGAAGTGATCACAGCACCAAGCCTGACAGAGCTCAAGAAGTATTTGGACAGTGCTCTCAGGCACGTGGTGTGACTCTTGGGGCTGGTGCTGTGCAGGGCCAGAACATGGGTCCTTTCCAAGTCAGGTTATTCTGTGATTCTCTATGATTCTGTGAAAAGTGATCTTTTCCCTTAGTGGTGAAAACAAAAAGGGTGGGAACTCAACTGAAATGAACTGCAATAAAAACAAAACAAAACAAGCTTATTTTTTTCCCAATACCAGAAACAAAACAAAAAGAAAACAAATGAAAAAAGCCACTGTTGATGTTGTTAGACATAAGCAAAAAGAATTGTATTGTTTTCCCAGTATTGTATTTCCTGGGAAACAAAGCATTTCACTTTCATTTACGGCATTTCAACTAGTCAAGTGTATGTAAATCTCTCTATGGTTGGTTTTAGAACAATGGATTTTGTTTTCCTCCTTAGGACCTTTAAGGACATGAAATTATCAAGTGATTTTTTAATAAAATTTTCTTAACACTTTCTTTTTTCTTAACACTAATTTGCATGTGTGGACCATTGGACCATTTCCTCAGGTGCTTAACATGCTCTTAAAAATTTACTGAAAAAGCAAATTTGTTCACTTTTTCATTTATCACTATATGTATGCTATCACTTCCCCCATTCTAATAATAGATTATGTTTTGAAAACATTTTATGAGGAAATAGGTAACTGAAACACTTCTTGCACTGTAATTTCTTTTATATATATATATATATATATATGTTAGAAATTTGTGCTCTGAGCAATAGGCACATTTACTGAGGAAATCCTCCTCCCTGTAGCTGTAGTAAAGAAATGATGTACAGAGAGCAAGAGAGAAAATCCTGGCTGTGATCAGTGTCTCCAAGCCATATGGCAGGCTCTGGTCCCAATCCCTCATGGATGCCCTCTTTGACTTCAGCAGGGCTGCAGGGTGATGCAGCCCACACTCTCTGCAGGTCATTTATTAGCTAGCTTTGTGCCCTTGAAATATCAGCCCTATCAGCCTGCATTCCCACTCTTGCTTTTGCATAAGAGGATGAACTGCATAATTTTGTTGCTGTCCTGAAGGCAGCCTACATTAAGCTTGCAGCTTGTGTAGTGTTAATGTTCTGAAGTAAATAAATTCTCTGCTGTTTTGTGGTTTGATAACACAAGGATAATTACATTGAGAGAGAATTCACACCTGAATTGTGTAAGTTAGTACTGAACAGTAAATCTCTTTACAGCATGTTTATCCTCTTCTTTCCCTTTTCTTTCAGTAGAAATTTAATTTGAAAACAGATGACTTCTGTTCTTTGCAAATAAAATACTGAGGAGTCAATAATTTTCTAAGTAATTTTCCCTTTGTGCACCCAGGTCTGACAAAAGGCAGTTTCTCTCTTATCATTCCTAAAGAACAAATAAGCCCAGAGAAAAACAAACAAACCCATTTTGTCCAGGTTAAAGGTATAAAACCAGGTTAACCTCTCATTGTAGCTCATTATTTTTACATCAGCATGTGTTCTTTCATCTCTCTCTCTCTTTCTCCTAAGGACAAATCCATGTCACGCTTTGATATATTTCCTCTGTTTCTGCAATTTTGAGATAGTTCAGGCTAAGATGAAAACACACTGCTGTTGTTGGGGCAGGTAGGCATTTTGACTGTCCTGTCTCTGACACCTTTCCTTAGTTTCAAACTGCCTTTGGAAAAGCTTCCCTGATTAGCTGCAGCTCTAAGAAACACACTTAAATCTCTTCATCAGCCTGAAGCTTACTCCTTGGTAACCTTTGCCTGTCTTTAGCAAGTGGGCTGGCTTGTCTGCTGAGACTTGTTTAAAGCAGTCACGTGCATTTCTTCCACTTTCACTTGTGAGGCAGTTTCAGCAGTTCTCCCTTGTGTAGGCTTGACTGCAGCTAGACACATCTTTGTTGCTGTTAAACTAGAAAATTTCTTTATCCTGGAAAACACACAGGCACACTTTTGCCAGTACAGGATCAAAGTGGAAGAATGCTGTCAGCTGATGATTCATAAATCCAGCTGGCTCAGCTGGTGTTCATAAAGAGGCACAAAAGCATAAAAGAAGCTCATGCTATCCCAGGTGATATCCCAGAGACAGGTAGAGAGCAAAATGATTTTAGACCCCTGATGTTTCTGCAGGCACAGAAAATATCATATTCTGGTTTTGTAACATCTATGTTGACTTGATAATTGTGTCATACAGAAGTCGTCTAACTCTTCAGATATAGGAAAATACATCAACATCCAGATACTTATTTACTTGTTCATGTTTCTGAAATACTTAACAATATTGTGGTGTCTATAAGTAGATGTATTTTAAACTCTCACCTGTTTACCTAGCCATGCCTTCAGTGAACTTACATCTGGACAAACTTCTTTGTTCCATTTGATGAAATCATTCATTTCATCCTGGGTAAAGTACTGTTGGGATATTCTTGCTTTAAAGGAAGACAGAATATACCCGGTTTCCTTGAGGTATGGTAAAATGTTAATTTTGCATTGAAATCTTCATCAAACAGGAGATTTGGTTGTTTGCTTTATTGGATTTCTTTTTTAGTTAGAAAACTATGGTTTTGTTAAGAGATATAGAAGTGGATATTTGCAAAATTCTTACCTAATTCACAAAGTAAAAATAATGACAATTTGCATGCCATGTAACCGAAAAATGTGTATATAATTACTTCTTTTAAAAGCTGACATGGTAATTCCTGATTAGTATGGAATCTTGTGGAATTAGTTTTGGTTATTAATCAAGTTAAGTTTTGCTCTCTCAATCATGATCTTGAACTAAGCTTGGAACTGTCTGACTGACCAGCATATGCTGGCTAAAATCCTTCCTCAGGAGCAGAAAGGTTAAGAGGACAGATGAAGCAAAGGCAAATGGTATCTTCTTACTACTCCTTGGAGATCTCACTACTAAAGATCTCCCACACCTACTATGTAATGAAATATCTGCTAATGTCCATATAGCCTCTGTGGCATTTAGCACTCTTGATTTTATGTTGTCTGGTTTTGAAACCTTATAAAGTGCAATGTTCTGTAACCTTTCAAAAACATTCATAGGTGTGATGTCAATGTTTCCCAAGTACTCAGCTGTCGTTATTGTAAGCCAGACTTTTGTTTACAAAAGCCCAGGCTTGCAATTCACTGCCTTGCGGGGGTGAAAAAAAAAGGGAGAAAGAAGTAATATTTTGCTTCTTAACACTTTCTCTATTTTCTCTTTAAAGTTCCATTCAGCTTTGAAAAGTGAAATGACCTTTTTAATGTACATTTATTTAAAATTCTTTGATGCATTCCAAACCTTTGCTGTTATTTATCTTCACATTTTAACCTGTGCTATCTTTTTTTGTTTTTTCCATTGGCCATCGTAGTTACACACAAAAAAAATCCCTTCTATTCTTGATTTTTGCTTAATCCAAATTAAAGATAATCTGTATTATTAAAGACTAGCCTCCTAGTAAAATACAATGATGGTACAATTTATATGTTGGCAGCTTGCCCATAATTATACTTTTTAAATGTTTTTGCTATTCCTTTGTTATGATGCTGTTTTCATAGATATTTTCATAGATATTTTTATTCTGTAGTGCTGTAGTTACTCTATTCTTGTCCACTTACCCATTTGGAGAATTGAAGAAAGGGTTTTGTTTTAAAAAAATGTTTTTGTTTCTATATCTTTGGGAGTTGTTAATCCTGTTTCTCTCCACTGCAGGTTTTGATGGAATCTGATGGCATACTGAATAGTGAAGGCAGCTGAGGAGCAGCCACAGTTGTGTCACCTTCTCCACTCTGCCATTTGGAAAAACAGAGGCTGTTAAGAAGCAGCAGTAATGTGGTATGCCTAAACAGGAAAGAAATTGCTCTTTCAGTGAAAATGTTTTTGTCTATTGTGTGAGCACTCTGAATCTGCTGATTTCTGACAGTGTCAGAAAATTTGTGGGGGTAAAGAGCTTTGTCAGTCATAAGGACGGCTCTTTGGTGGTGGTGGTACGAAATCATGGATGTGCTGTTACTTCACTGCATTCACAGCATGGTAAAAAAGTTTGAAAAAAGTATGGACAGCAGCTGTTGATGTGTTAAAAACTTCTAGCACTGTGTGCTCATAAACTGATTCTTTTAATTAAAATAATGCTTAAATTACAATAAAATTCTACTCTTTCATTACCAGTTTTTTGATACAGACAAAATGTTTAGCCACAACAGTTTCTTTTCACCACTAAATGTTACCTTCTTTTGGTATGATAAAACACCATTTTTTGCTCCAGTTTTCTTCTTTATTCTCTAGCCTTCTGATTTTTTCCCCTGCTTTTCCATATATAATCTTCTTGCTCCTTTCTTTTTCACAGAAAGGATGGTGAATTTTAACCAGATGCACAGAGCAATATTCAGTAGATATGCCTGATTTTATTTCATTTGAGGTATGTTGATGGACTGTGTTTCAAAAGGTTGATAGCCTTACAAAACAACAGGGAGATGGGCTTTTTTTGTTATGGTAAGCATCACTGAATTCCAGTGTGATGCTCAAATCTGATAAGCATATGAAAGCCAAATATGTTTCAGTTTTGTATGTAACTAAACAAAAAAGGAAAACTAAGTCTGTAGGGATGAATCCTAAATTTACAGGGTCGGTCAAATTTATTCTGCTGGAAAACACTTTTTAGTTTTCCTTCCCTGGAGGTTAAAAAAATCAGCTTACTGGCATGAGTGGTTTTACTTCACTGCTTTGAGATCAACTGTTTTAGGGAAACAGAATATTTACTTGAGTGAGTGCCAGATTCCTTTGACAATTGACTTAGACTCTCATAATCTCTGTTTAAATTAAAGTATGATGGATCTAATCCATTGCCTTTTCCATACATGAATGTATTTGTTATTTAATTTATGATGCTTATTGAAATACAGAAGTTAATGACAAAGTTGCTGTCATGGAAAATGGGAAAATGCAGCAAAAAATAGGATTTTTTTTCCTTTTGGTTGGCTTTGCCTTTTTTATTTTTTTGTTTGTTGAAAAGAAAGGCTATTGGAAGTAGAAACACTAAGTGTCTGAATAAACACCAGATTAACATTTAAACAATGTTTAGCAGTCAGCTGTGTTTGTAGCAAGGCTTACTTCAATTAGTTTTAAATTTGACAGGAATTCTAATAAGTGGTAAAATAGGCACATGAAAGTTTCTGGAGGAATTGATTAGGATAAATTCAAAACCATTGTAATTATTTACTTTTGCTATTTGGATTAATTTAATACTAAGTATGAAACTCCCTCTCCTGCTCCTTTCACCAGAACCTTTAAGAACAGGAGCATGCATGAGAGCAGATATACTCAGAATATTCCTGGTTCTTGCTAGGATTTTAATGCCAAAAATTAGCTGCAATAGAATTCCATCCTTTGCTGCATAAGCAAAAAGTCTTTAAAGCTTCTGGCAAGAAACCCTTTCAGACACTGCAGGAAATGAGTTCAAATGGCTTGCCTATTTTCTTTCAACTGCTGAAAATAAGATGCAACATCAATTGTTTTGGTTGTCTTCACAGTTAAGAAAAAACGTTTCATTTGTAATAAAATTTCCTTTCTTACATAAAGAGCATGACAGCACCATTCTTACGGATTATAAACACTGAATTATGAGTATTTGAGCTTTTTGTTTTCTTTTACATTACACACCTAACAGGTTTTTTTTAGTATGGAGGCAGATACTGTTCAAGCATGTCCTTTATCTCTAGATACACATAAAAATTGATAAAACTGGGACTTAGAGAAAAAGATAGGGTTATGGACATAGTTTTCTTGGAAACTGCAAGAAGAATTGATCAGGTCACATTGTTGAAGAGAATTTTTTAGGAAATACAAGAATTTCTATTTTAGAACAGTGAAAATATCCTTGAAATATATAATTACATGAGGAAAACTGCATTAGCATGGTGTTTCTCCATTGATTTTTTGCTTGGTAGGTTTGCAGAGGAGGGAAGTCTGGTTTTACTTCTACAGCCCTTCTACTAGAATTTTGCTGAGTCTCTAACCCATTGTCATCCATATTAAGTACTGTTTTTCTTTCCTAAATTCTGATTTTCTAAGTACAATTTATGGGAATTTAGGTGTTCAGGGAATTAATCTGTACGTATTTAAAACTCTGTTGATCTTTGTGATTTTTTTTTTGGTTAAGTACTATGCAAATCACAGAAGTTTAAAGAAGATGCATGCAGCTGTTTTGTGAGACAGTCAAATTATTTGAGAGGCATACATTATTCCTTCTCTTTTGTATGACAACATCGAAGGGGCTTTATCAGCAATTCAGATAGCTGTACTTGTAACAGCTACAGACATTTTGTCATCTTTAAATGCTCAACTGATTCCCCACCTCAGTATTTACAAAAGAAGGAAAAGTTACTGGTAGTGCTATATGAAAAAGGATGTTTTTCTTCTCTGTCTATAATTCGTGGAACATAATAATGAACATTTCACATTTTATGCAGTAATTTATTTTTGTTTATTTGCTACACAGAATGCCTCTTTTGGGCTCAGGTCATGCTTAGCTTTCCTGCTTGCAAACAAGAATCTTAGTAGCTCCCAAATCACAGAGTTGGTAATGTTGGAAGGGACTATGTTGGGTCATCTGGTCTAAGCTGCCACATTTGGCTGTCCCTTGTTGACAGATTGCATAGAGGGCTGCACTTTTAATTCCAGCTGCAGCACCTGGTATTGATTTATTTCTGGCCATTTTCCTGATATGGTCTCATTCTTAGAACATAGCTGACTCTTTCTAGTTTTACTGGTTATTACTTTATGCATTAGTCCTTCTCTAGAAGGCAGTTTTTCATTTTCTGCTGTTGCATTTTCCGCATTGGGAACTTGATGTGGAGAAATAGAACTGTGTTGTATGGCCTACCTTCCAAAATAAACCCTCTCTTAGTGCACTCATTTGGTGAACCTCAAATGAGAGGTGTAGATGAAAGAGAAATATCAAATGCCCAGTTTTGCTTTGGGTTCAGATATGAAAGTCCTTGATTATTCCCGAGTCTTGTAGGTACTGCCTTCAAGTTTGCAAACACACCCTTGAAGTTGATTGCCCTTCATGCCTGAATTTCTCTGGAAACCTCTTTAAGTTCCCTTTCTGTGCTTAACATGTGCCACTAAGGTGATAAGTGATTTTAACACAGAGACTTTTTTTTTTTTCAACAATTGTGTCCTTTCCTGCATTCAGTGACATATCTGCTGATTTCAGTTATAAAAGTAAGGTATGCTGCATTCACTCTACCTTACAAGGCATAGTGAGCACAACCAGGAGAAAGCTAAATTTGATTCTACCCCATTTGTACTTCACCAAAAATTTAGTCCTGTTTGCCAGTTTCTATCAATTATCTGCCTGGAAACTGGACACATTATGAGGCACCATGGATAAGAACCACGATGGCTATTTATCACCTGAAAAGGTTAAAGTGTCCTAAAAGCAAAGCAGTAGCTGGTATTGGCTATTCTAAACTGCAAAACCAGGAAAACAGTCTGGAAATCCAAAAACCTGTCCAAGAGGTTAGAAAAAAATCATTATCTATTGGATGTCCCAATGTAATGTAAATTAACAACATCTATTGGATGCCTTTAAATAGGGGTGTCCTAAACACTCTTATACTTCTACAGTAAAAAATATGACCGATTTTTGATTCAGAATAGTGCTTTTCTGTCTGAAACATTTCCTAGTTCATGCAATTTTCCTTCTCTCCAGCAGGCTGAGACCGCTGCATAACCTCTCTTCTGAGGTTCTGGACACTTGGTATGGGTGCCTGTCTGACTCCAAACTCTGTGACTCAGATCACCTTGAAATGAGACGATTTTATTTATTTGTCCTCCCCTGGGTCAGCTTCTGGGGTCAGTTTGATTTGTCTTTCCCTTTGAGATGCTTTGGCCGCTTTTGCATGCTATTTATTGTTCCTGGTACCATATATATGCATAAAAGTATTTTATTATGAGTGTATCTGCTCTCATACTATTGATAAAATGTTTTTAATGGTAGTAATTTTGTAGTAAACTGTATAGTTATAGGTGTGATGGCTGATGCTATTATTGAGTGCTGCTGTTATTTATTTTTGCTGTGCTATTGAGTACCTATAATAATTTGTAATAACTTGACATATATATATATATTCACTTTATTTATCATAGGTATATTGACTAATGGTGGTTCCCTTAGTATTTGTGGTAATTTCTAATGATGTAGAGAAACACAGGAGCTAAAGCCTTGGTCTCATATAACCCAAAGGACCCTGGTCATGATCACTGTCGCACAGCAGGCTGAGTGACCCATTAGGTCATGAGAGCAGGCAGCCTGCTTCATGTGGTCCCTGTGCTACGAAGAACGCAGTTTATCAGGTTGATTTAACACAGTTATTAGCTAATTAAAAGTACCTATTCACCTATGATACCTACCTACGATATCGCTTATCCATTGTTTTTTAGTCTTCAATATCTGACTCTCAACTTTTCTGTACTAAGCATAAGGCTTTTTTTTCCCCTAAAAAATCAAGATCCTAGAGTTGATAAGAATTTATAAACTTGTATGGCTCAGTGCATATATATTATTTTTGCTTATATACATTTATAAAAATGTTCACAGCAAGGTTTCCATTTATTAAAAAATAAGATTCAATTTCTTATCTAATCTTAAATATAATCTGAATTTAAAAATAAACCACCTATAGAAAAATAAATTGAGTGAAATTTAGGAAAATAGACTCTTTGGCCACCAGTATATGAAATCCAAATTTCTGCATAAAACTTTTTGAATCAAAACATCCTCTTTCTATCCCAAAATACTTGCTACTTAATGAGCAGGCAGACTGATAAGGAAGCAAACCAGACACGTTTTTAAGACGTGATCTTTATATCACAGCAAATTTCTGAGGCTACCTTGTGATGCACACCCGTTGATATATGTGTACTCCTCTGTGGCTAATCAGGTTATGAAGTGAAAGGCATCTACTCCTGTTCTGGCCTACATAGTCAATATTTCTGCATGTGAAGTTGATAATGCATAAAGACTTTTTGTTATCATTTATTATCTCTTGAAAAATGAGTAGCTGAAGTGTGGAAATTTGGGCAAATTTCCCAGGTAGTTAGAAGATGGCCAAATATATGGAACTATTAAGACAAATTAAAGGAATTGCAAAAACATTTTAAGAGGCATGGAATAAAACTCCTTGCCTGTTTCTGTGGATAGGTTTGTGATAATATATCCACAGCAGGCTTAAGACTCTCATAATTTCTAACTGATTTAGTACCTAAAAAATGTTGCCAACAGATTTGTAGATCTCCTTGATAAGGCCTTACTCTTTCTACTATACCAGAGAGTCAGAAACTGAACTTTGGGGCAAAATCAATGACAATTACCTCCTGTAGAGTTCACTGTCTGTCTTCCTTCGAAGATTCTATGTCTCTTGTCTCCCACTGAATCTCAACACCCTAAGTCACTGATGGTGATGAAACGTTTTCATGTCTAAATGGATGTCTAAATATTGCTCTGAAAATGTTGATCTACTAAAGCAATTGCTTGTAATACAGATTACAACATGTGACATGTGACATAACAAAATCTGGTAAAATTTTTGCATGCGGGTTAAAGCAGTGACAGGAAGGCCAACAGAAAATAGGAGGCTGAGATTCTCTGTGCAAGCATAATAAAAGAGACAAGGGTCTTGCAGACATGACTTAGTGGTCATCTGAAATGGTTTTGCTCTGCAAAATTGTGGTTTAGTCAAATGCACCCAAGATACAATGCACTAAAAGGTATAATGAAATAACTATGGAAAGGTTAAGATTTCTGTATGTCTTACTATGCAAGCCTCCATTATATGCAGGAAGTTTATATTACATAAAGACAGCATAAATTGTTGTAAAGTTTTCTTAATATTTTCATTCATCTTTGGATGAACACTGTCATAATTTTCAACTTTTTATATGCCTTTCTGTCATGTATTTGTAATTTATTGACACTCATGAAATCAGAGCAGCTCTTGCATCCAGTTGCTGATGCAGATTTAAGCTTTCAGTGTAACTGATGCAAATAAAATGTTGCTTATGGTCTAAAGATAGTTCATCATCAGTAATCAAAAAGCTCAATATTATGCATTTTCTCAGTACTTGTGTCAGAAGCAATGCAGAGCAATTTGCTCTGAGATTTATAGCCTGTGAAATTAAACATTTGTAAATCACTGGTATGTAGTTGCTCATATTTGGGAAAAGAAGAATTTAATTCTACAAAATTACTTTAACTTTCTACTGCATTTCTTGAAATGACCTCTAAAGGCCAGGTATTGATGAACTGTGTTAATGCAATAATTCTTTTGCTTTCTTGGCATGTTTCATGTTTTGTCAGGACAATTTGATTTTCTTTGAGAAGATGAAATGTGCTATGAATATATTTCGTTTATTTTCTCTTTAACATTTCACCCACTAGTTCACATTTATGACTGTTTCTTGCAGTATATATCAGCAAAAGATGACTTTCAAGTGTGAAGTTTTTCTCAGGAAACATTTATAATACTCTAGGACACCATAATAGATATATTAAAGTGATAAGAAAACAAGTATTTTGCTAATTTTGCTTCATTGTTTACTGTATTTGCTAGCTTGTAAACATAGCTCCAGAAGGATAAAAAAACATTGTTGTGATTGGAAATGTATTTAAAAACTATCAGGCTGCTATAGAACTGCAGAAACTTGATAGTTTGACATGTCTGACCTAGTAAGAAAGCAAGGAGGAAGTCCTTATTCAGACTGTTTAACACTTCCTTTTTTCATTTGCTCTAATTAAAAATGCAAGCAGTTGATGAAAAAAGATTTTCTCCATTTGAAATTAAAAAGTCTGTTGAAATGAAACAGAAAAATAAAACTGTGAAGGCTAATAATTTCAGGAAATTATGCAAAAAAGTATGTAGCAGCTAAATTATATAGATTACATATAAATATATGTATCTATCTCTACATTTTATTTACCTGAGAAAGGTAATTCTACTACCTTCAAAATGAACAATTTCTTTTTTTTTTTTTTCTGCAAATACTTTTTCTCCCCTCATCCTTGCTTTTAGATTTGAGTTTAAGGTTTATTTTAAAACCTTAAATAGAATATCATTGTCTTGGTAAGAACATATGTATTTTGACATTTTTTTGCTGACAAACCAGCAAAAACATTCAAAACAAAGAAAAAAAAACAGGCTGGTCCTTCATTGGATCAGATTGTGGAAGAATGTGATGCAAACTAAAGAATCTGAGAGGTGGGAGTATATTATAACTTAAGGGAGAGGAAAGACATTTGAATCAGAATGTGGAAAGGTATTTCTTGCTTTATGTGAGACTGATGTGTTTGTGCAACAAGCTATGTAATTTAAAGAAAAAAACAACTAACAAGTGCAGGATGTATATTTTAGAGCCCGTGATTTTAAATGTAAATAATCTCATTCTTGATGTATTTTCCTAAATTGCTCAGATTTACTTTTCAACTCTGGACTCTATCAGCTCTGTGGATTTAGGTGTTTTGTGGGCAGCTACTTTGGTGGTGTGGTAGTTTGGCATTTAGGAAAAAAAGTGGAAAACACCCATGGAAGTGATTTCTCTGAGAGAAGCTGCTGGGAGTTTCTTCTCTTACTGAGAATCGGCCCAATAGCTGGCCAGATCTGAGAACAGACAGCATTTTGCACCACTGAAGAGTACGATCACCTTTGTGAATACCACCTTTTAAAAACCCAAAGCCCAGGAAGTTTTTTCTCTTTCTTTGTGTCCTTGAAAGGTTGGAGTGCTGGTGTGGCTGGCCCTGCTGCCCCGCGGCCTGTGCAGCCTGGGCAGGGGCTGGGCCGGGCTCCAGCAGCTCCCAGCTGGGGGATGGAGACTGAGGGGGTTCCTCCAGCCCTAGGCCAGGTCGGGCTCTGCTGCAGCTCCTCCCAGGAAATCCTCCGGGTCCCATTCCAGTGGTGTGGCTGAAACCCTTCCCAGGAGGGGCCCCAGCCCTAGGCTGGACCGGGCCATGGCTGCTTATACCTTCTCACCCCCGCCATGGGCCGCAGTGACGGCTCCAAGCCAAAAACTGTCCACTGCCTTCCAGGGGCTGCCCAGCTGAAAACCGACACCATGAATACCTGGCCATGGTTTGGGCCAGATTTAACCTTTTCACTACACAGATGAGACCTGCAGAGTTAATCCCCTCTCCAGAGAGAGGAAAGTGGGAGTGATTGACTCGTAAGAGACAGCATGAAACATCAAGGTCAGTAGGAGAAAGAGTCAAGCCTCAGATGGAAGGAGAATGAGGAGATGTTTTAATAAGCTGAAATATTCTTTTGTTAGAGCCATGGAGATGGACAAATAATGTTCTGAAAAACTCCTTTAATTCATGAAAGAGTATTGGGGAATGAGTATTCAAGCTGTAAATCTGAGCAAAGGTATCCATTGATGAAGCTAAGTGGATGGTGATCCCATGAGAAGCTTGAACAGAGAGAGAGTGAGCTGATGAAGACCCCTTGCCCCCAGAGAGAAAAGAAAACCTCTGTTCCCAGATATGATCACAGAAACAGATGAAGAGAACCTTTGCCTTTGAATAACATCCTTAAAATAATACCCCTTGAGTTCGTTGCCCATGAGCACACCTCTGAGTGGTGTGAAAATGGGAGGAAAGCATGATGGCAGAGTTTTTTCCTGGGTGGCTGCCAGGCATGGAAATGAAAAGCCACAAGAAAACTGTTTCTAGATGAGAACTCTCCATAGAATGACAAGAGAAAACTCCTCTCTCTACAAAGACTGATTAAAAAGACTATTGTATAGTTGGTACTGCTTTAACATCCCAGGTTTTGTCTCTACGATGAGAAAGGAAAAAAGTTGGGTGGGGGGAGAAAAGGTTTCTGGAGGTTTTATTCTGGTTTCTTATTCTTGTAGTCCTGTTAATAAACTTTCTTTATTCCTTTTAAGTCTGTTTAGCCTTTTTCCTAATCCGTATCTCACAGCAAGAAATGAGTAAGTACCTTGCTGATTTTAGCTAGTGCTAAAACCCACCACAGGTGGGCTTGCTGAACAAAGCTTTATTTGAAAACAGATGAAACATCATGAAAAGAGGCGTGTGAAGATATCAGCTGGAAGTTTAGAACCCTCTTTGGAGCTTCAGATCAGGTGCCTGCTTTAGACATCCTTGTAATGGCCTGTTGTTGGAGAGGAGAAGAAAAGCTCTTTCCGTCAGAACAATGTTAGTGAAAAATGTTGACCAAATTGTTGTGCTGACCCACAAGGATCTATGGAGTATGGTCACAGTGCTACAAGAGTAAAACAATCAGTTTTATATTCTGAAAACAACTAGGGCTTGCTATAGGCAAGATATATGTACCAGGATAGTCTTTAGGTCCATGTTAAATAAAAGACTTGAGTAGCAAATATGGAGAATGGAGAAAAGATGCTGTCATTTAAGATTAAGTTGATAGAGATCAGGTTTTTAGATAAATGTAAACACTGTAAGAATGATGTTTGTTCTAAAGATAGGCATGTTACTATGGTGACAACTGCATGATTCAAAATTGTAGTTGTCCTCTTTC